ACACACGACACGCACGACACCACCACACAACCACACGACACACACACACACACGACACACACACACACACACACACACAACACACACACACACACACACACACACTATATATATATATATATATATATATATATATATATATATATATATACTGTATCGTTTGGCATGTACTGTGTAACGCCGGGTAACCTTGGAAATGCTATTCTTATGTGGCGCCGTGAGCAAATGACGACGCATGAACAAAACTTGTACCGAGAATGATGGGTCGACCAGCCTTCGAAAATCAAATGGGTTTACAGTTTAGACGATGTGTCGAAAGTTTGACAATTGTTCATTGTGCATTTTAGAGAAGGTGTGTTGGCAAAAATTTCGCTGTAACTTTAGACGAAAAAATAGGAACGCTAAGAGATTTCGTCAAAGTTACTAGGAAATCTTTAAATATTGTTTGCCTCTTAAAGCTCATTATTTTGCTGTCTGTTGAAAGGCGCGTAAAACCGGTCTATTCGTGACGGTGCTTGAGGCGTTGAACAGTGCTATTTATAATGTTTTAAAAAACGTAGTTTTAATTTTCGCGTCAGTATAGCTCTTCATGTAAACTCATGAGTGCGCTATATTGAAGGCCCGGGACGATTAAAATATACGAATTGTATATCTCATGTAACCTCATTATTACTCATGTAAGTTCCTGTACTAAAGTTTTTGGATGTGAAATACCTATTAGTGGAGAGAATTCGTTTGTAATACTAATACGCGAGGGACTCATAACAAATTTATTTGCGCAATGAATAATTATCATTGAATACTTTCTTTCACTACTATGCTTTTATTTACTAATTTTGACCGCAGGCGTTATTTGGAAGCAAAATGTCTTCGGATAGCAGTGCGTTCTTATTGGAATCTAATACATCGGAGGAAGAAGAGAACTAGCGTCCACGGAGCAAGGGACTTATCTGTGAGCTCGTCAATTTACATGCATTGAATATTTAATGCAGCACTATCTGATAGTGCGACTTCTGTACGTGCCTTAAAATTTTGTCACCAGTTCTATCCGTCAGAAAATTTCTGGCTGGACGCGAAGTACTACTGAGTCCTTGAATGCACGTGACATATTTACAAGAACGATATCAACCTGTCTGTGAAAATGTATTGCATGTGTGCAGGCAATTAATTTAAACACCTCCCGGTGGCGACAGACCCATTTTAAAGTAATACGTGTTTCGGCGTTTGTATTGGACTATCTATAGTCGTCGTCATATCATTAAATAACGCATAATAAAAACCATAAATATCTATTTACCTATTTAATGATGGTTAATAAAACGTAAATTTTACCGCCATGTGACTGTTTTTGATTATTTCCGATAGACATTTCTTGTTTTTGGATATCCCTACGTTCGCACCCCCACTATGGCTTTACGTGAGCTACATACCCGGACACCACCAGCCATTCACGCATGCTTGCGCAATTTGACATTTTTGTGGCGTGTTGCTAAGAATTGCGACAAGTTTGTGTACAACTTACAGTTCCCAAGCATGCATCTCACCGAACAGTCCGAAGTTATGCTATCCTAAGTGGAAATAGTGTATTTGGGGAAGGAAATGCGTATACACCAGGTCCTGCTGGTTGTGTAGATATTAGGTTGCTTGTAAAAAGGTGACACTGCAGTAAGTGTACGTATAACCCTAACAAAATGAGAGTCAGTCAGTGATAACTATGTGGAGAAAGGCGCTACTGGCGACATAATATACTTTGCTGATTATAGCGTTAGTTTGGGCAATTAAACAGGCAGGGTATGATAGAAGCTAAGCACAGACTTACCGGTATTAACTGCAGTCAGAGAAAATAACATCCTGACTGGTGATTTTGTAAACCAAGAAAAGCGTAAAAGTGTTATAGTTGTCTAATCCTCTTAGACTTGTTTACGTAGGACTGCAGTTAATGTGATCGCTCATTAGAAGCAGTATAATTAATAGATTACGAGTTGCTTTCATCAATTTGGAAAATCATGCGTATGAACATGGGTTATGAATGAATCTTAAAACACTGTCAATTAGATTGCCCCAACTAATTTACCAATTTGCTGTAGCTGCGAAATATTCGCAAAGGTAATAATAAATTGATTTAATTTGTTTCTATTCCGTATGGAAAATATTTTGTTATTGAAAGTGTTAAAATAGCAGGTTAAACGCAAAAGCCATACACCGTATAGATATGAAGCTAACACCAATCAATTACACTGTTATCGTGACAGATCGTGACGCCGATGAGCATAAAACAGTGAAACATTCACGGTTTCATCAAACTCGCCATAACTTTGCCAATGGAGTACGTGCTTGTCCGTTGTTGCCCCATGCAGCCCAAGAAGTGCTGCAGTTTTGCCCCTAAGGCCAAGATTAAGATCCAACTGGCTTTTTACGTTGGAGATCAGATTACGATCAGGGCTAGGGTTAGCTCCAAGACATGGCCATGTATTGAAAGATAGTGTCTAGTCAGTGAAAAGCTATATAGACATTTATACCCCGTTCTCATATTATTCCTGCTATGTGATGGAACGTGCTGAGTGCGTGCGGCCTAACTGGACTAGCTTAGCATAGAACTGGTCCCGGCTAATAGCTAGCTGTGTGACTATAGTTTCATATTTAACGGGCACTGTCCCATCCTAGTTTTTATGTAGCGAAAAAAATTCACAGTCTGTACAGGTATGCGAGTCTCACAACTGCCACAGGTTAGAGATAAAAAAAGATTGTTCTTTGACTAGAGAGTAGCTCTAACGCAATGATGTCTGCCAGTGTCTAAAACGATGAGTTTGCGACGATGTATACATAGTCAAGTGGTTTGATGCGCAGCATGATCCCGCGGTATGTTGGTCAAGTGTGCAGATGCTTCATGCGTGCATTAAACGGATGCCTACGATCAACTGCTTCGCTGCATGGCTATAGCATACGAATACGTTGACCTATTGCGAGTTTGTGCCTTCAGGCGCCACTTTGTTCGTTGCTGTCATTAGAATCAGCATTGAGGGCATGGGGCAAACGTCTCAGCGAAATCTTGTTCAATTGTCTTGAAATCTCGAAGAACCGCTCCGCCAGCGTACAGCAAGGGTGGGGGTGGGGGGCGACACCTCGGGACAGTGTAGATAACAGGGTTACGAGCGCAAACCGCGCAGTGCGCATGCAAGACGTTGCCAGAGGTGTTCGAGGATCTTCTGAGAGGTAAGAAAACGTGGCGCTTTCTTCTGTGAGTATTATCGTTGATATAATCGACAGTATTATCAACACAACTTACACGAACAACCGAATGCACGCACGCAGATACGCGTGCGCGCAATTGGCATGCACGCTCACCACATGAAATTACATGCAGGCACATGCACGCACACGCAGTATATGGACACAACCACATCCATACAGGCGCGCACATGCTATACACTCACACGAATACACACATATCCACAGACAAACACTATCTCTCACACACACCCGCGCCCGCACGCACGCACGCACGCACGCACGCACGCACGCACGCACACACACACACACACACACACACACACACACACACACATGCAACGCGCATGCACACCACACGCCACACGCACACGCACACGCACACCCACACACAACACACACAAACACAACACGATGATAGTTAAATTAGACGATATATTTATGATGGAAGGCAAACATCTACACGCACGTATTAGACACATTTATGTTACAGACTCTAGTGAAACCTGAGAGCTCAACAGACCAATATAACTTGCTCTCTATATAATCTGCTTAGTGCCGACTATGAAGCATATCGGCTTACAATTGAGCAACACATACTAGAGATAAACGGCTTCATCGACAACCGATATATATAGTCACACATCAGTCAGATGTAATGCAGGGGAGTGGTAGTGAAGCTATAATATTTAAAGGAGATATAATTTTAGCTAGAGCATTGTGATAAGGTTAGAAATACATAGAATACGAATTCACTACAATACATCACTCCACGGGCACTTGGGGCGCTAAAATAGTAACACTTATTGGAGCACAAAACAATAAACATTAATTATATTAGTGTGGCAAATATGAAAGCTATGATATCAAAGCACGGATAAATACAGGCTATATCAGCTATAGCGTTTGACAGATAAATATAGCATAGTACTGTAAATGTACAGAATCGATCGATCAGACCCACTCCATAAGGGCTATATCATACATCGATGCTCACCGCGAGTTCACAGCGAGCGTAAGACGAAACAAGATACGGTTTTCAACAGGCCCCTCGCATTAGTCAGAGAGATTTTATTCAAGGTATACAAGAGACACTCACAGTCTTTTGCTCTATCACACCGCGAACAGTTTCACTTATCCCAGAGCTTACAGCTATATAGGTGGTCTAATCCTGCTAGACTATCACCAATGAGGTCTGCCATAGTGTGCGGGCCGATGCGGAGGGCGCGGCCCCGGGGCCCTGCCCGCACTTAAGGCGGGCTCGGGCAACCCCCGCCCCGAAAAACAATTCACGCGCGCGGCCCCACACCCTTCCGGTACAACACCACGCCGACCCACACAGCGCGCGCGCACAAGAACGGAATGGGTAGTTGAGCAGTAAGAACGTCATTTCAGGTGGCGAAATAAAACCGTGTTTGCAGAAAAGCCGAAATGCCAATATGAATGAAAAAATCTACTGACTGCACATTTCGTTGCAAGATACGCTGTACACGAGCGTTCACTATCGAAATTTACAGCATGCAATTGTTTTCGTATTTCAGATTTGCGCTCATACTAGCATCGACGCAAGATGAAGTACATTTTCATCACATTCAAAGGGTAACAGAAGGAATTATTGTTATAATACCACAAATTCGGGAGTGTCGCAAGAAACGCGGACTGATACAATTTTTAGCTTGAAAAAATTCCTCTAATCCTGGATTAAACATAATGGTTGCGTACATCATCTCTTACGAGCTGCAGTTTAAGCATTTTATGAGCGCGGCACATTACAACTACATTGTCTGATAAAGCTATCATATATATCATGTATATAATTATATATAGAAGTAAAGTCACACACGAACACCCGTGTAGATCAAAACAAAGTCAAGGTATAGAGAGGTGTTTCTAAAGTTTAATTGACGAGCTCTCGAGATACACTCTCTTCATCAGGTCATCAAGACATTGGAATAAGAATTAAATAATCAAAAACAAATACACACAGGCGGTTATACGAAATCTAAAAATAAATGATTCACACAATTCGCGCGTTGCGAATGAATACGGCACGACAAAAGAACCGCAACTATATATTTATATATACACGCAACTAAAAACACACACACACACACAAACACACACACACAAAACAGCACAAGGACACATCTGGCGACACACACCTAGCACACACACACACAACACACACACACCCCACAACACAGCACACACACAAACACACACACACACACACACACACACACAACACACACCACACACACACACACAACACCCACACAAACACACACGAAGCATGACTAAAAATCACCGTAACTTAAAGTTTACGTTCAATGCCCTGCGATTCAAACACCAACCCCTCAGAATAATTTTCTGCTTCAGTCATATGTCAATAATTCTGAATTATATGATCAGTAATTGTCGCTAAATCATTATTGAGTATATATTGAGTGCATGTGTCATAATAATTAATGAGTCAGTAATTGAGTGAACATTATTTGTTTTGATTATTTGATTCTATTCCAATGTCTGCTGACCTGATGAAGAGATGTAATCTCGAAAGCTCGTCAATTAAACTTTAAACACCCTTATTCTATACCTTGACTTTGTTTTTATAATTATATATATATATATTACTGATATTCCTGGAATTTACAGGGTATACGTATATAGCATAAAAAGCAAAATTGCGCTTTCAGTATTATGTATTAAGCATTCCTAACTGAAACTTTCCATTTCGTTATTTTAGAGGCGAATGTGGATATTATAAAGAGGTGAGTTGATTGGCTTGTATATCATCTCTTATTCTCGGAGCGACGGCCACACATGCATGTGCTCATCTGTGCGCATGCGCGCGCACGTGTACGTGAACACTGCGTGGCATGTAATATGCGGATGCTTGTATGCATGCAGCATGTTTATATTTAGTTATTGTCGTATCTACTGAAATTATAAGATTTGGGTTTATACACGAAATTAGCGTACTGTAGCAATACGAAATAGAAGTATAACTGGTGTTTTACAGTATGCCGATACATACGCCAAGATGCACGATCATCACCTTTTAAAAGGACACCTCATTATCGTAAGTACATATTTACGGACGCGTCTGTATACGCCGCACGAATATGTATATTGATTATATATCATATTAGATCGAACAATTCGTACCGTTGCTAAAACCTGCAACAGATTTGACACTATTTCACGAGAAGAGAAAAGATACAATTATAATTATTCATTGTTATAATCAGAGCTAGGCTTATCGCTCTAATACTTTCTTACTTCAGTGATTTGATTAAATTTTGGTTTGCGTTCTCACGTATATTTTATTATGCGTGCACGTGTGCTACGTGCATGCATGCATGCGTGTAAGAGACTAAACGAAGAGAACGTTCGCATAAAATTACATAATAACAGCTTGTTTTTATTCAACAACTTTTTTTAGGAAAGAGGATAATTTAAACGATGAACAGTAACTTTACTTTAGAAGAACATGATTAGCAAAACTGATTTCATTTGCATGCTGTGAATCAAAATATGGCGGAATTTATTTAATTAACATGTGAAAACGTGTAAACTATGTCAGCAGCACATTAGCGTAATAAGTAAAAATTGTGCTAACCTGGATACGATTTTAAACGAGGGTTACCTGCGAGCGCGCGTGTGTGCGTGCATATCTTTGTGACACGATTATCGCTTCTTTTCATAATAAGAATGCAAAGGAAACAGACGAGGACGTTTTTGAAGTTGACCTGGTAAATCTGGAAATGCTGCATTCTAAAAAGGTATTTACGCATATTTTCCCCTTTACTAATACCGTATAAGAAAAACTACTAAACAAATGAGAATAAACTAATGCTGTACTAGAACTTTAGTACAATTCTACTAAAGTGCTATAGATTACAATAAGACGCGTAGGCCTTCTCGCTTATCCCCATATAACAAGATTGACTATCAGAAATGAATCAAGTGGTTCAATGCAGGGGCGTAGCCAGTATGTATAGCACTGTAGGCCCGGGCCTACACTTTTTTTGGCCAAGTTATCTTTTTTTTTAAAACACCCATAATTCAAATCCATAAGCTTGCTGGACGAGTTTAAGAGTCTATAGGCAGGAAAAACTATTGAAATGAACGTAGCAAGAATATGGCTAAATTAGGTGACCTATTCTTCTGTCATCTAGGCTGTCATTTCTATCGCGTGCCGTTTCATTCAACACTCTACCCGCCGAAAAAGACTAGGATCCGATCTTGTCAGTTTTTTAACATTTTAACTCGTTCGTAACGCTATTTTAACTCGTTTCTGTTTTTTGGGTTTAAAAGTGATATTGAATTAGGTGTCTCAAGTTAGCAAGAGGTCAGGGAGCCAGAATGAACACTCGGGAAGGGCCGTTTCCGGCCATCTGGGGGGTTTGTAAAACCAAAAATTTTATTGTACGCTCCGCGCCAACCGATGGTGGCGCTCCGCTCAGATAGTCGTGCCTACAACTTTGAAAATCCTGGCTACGCCCCTGCAATGTTATTCTATCTACAAATCAGTCGGTTTGGTTTTTTGCATACGACATTAACATAGACTTAGGTGTTCGTCCTGACACGCGGAAATATTAAACCATGTCATCTGACTTTAAAAATTAATACAATTTTCGTATAGGCACGCTTGCTCACTCGAAAATATCCTGACAGCGATCGGGATTAAAATATCTAGTGAATCACGCATGATTACTTTTAAGACGGGGGGATTTTCTGAACGCGGGATTGGACTATTTTAATTATCTGGGAAGCGGAAAATACCTGATAAATTGTTCGTGATTAGTGAATAAAAGTTAGAATTGCGAACTAATTAAGAACTAGAAAATTGCATCCTCTTAACTTGTGACACTGGGAATCCCCCCCCCCCCCCCACACACACACACACGTTCTCGCTATTTTAAGCGACAACATATTTTGGGCACTCATTTACAGAACGGCGACGGATTCATAGATTGTGACGAAAAACTTGAAAAAATTGCGAGAGGAATCAAAGCGCACATGTGAATGTAAGCAGCTGCAGGTACGTACATACAATGAAATTTAGGTATATATACTAGGAGTTTATTAATGCTCCTAGACCAGTCAATACCAGCAAGCAAGGACAGAGATTCTAGGCATGCATAGTGTTGATTCATTCTTAATGAAGGGACGTTTAACTTTTTTTTTTGTCATTTGATAGTTATATTGGGCGAATTTGTGAATCGATTTAATGGTCGTTGGATGTACAAATTCTTGGTTACACACCACCAAGACCACTGATCTCTGTATACTACCTAGTTAGGATATAGTAGTCTAAAGTTAGCGTATAGCAATCAGTAGCCAAGACAGGCTGATTATTGCACTTTATAAAAATTATTCTAGCATACATTGTATTACCAAATAATTTACAATTTGGGCATAAGGAAACGGATTTTTTACATAATGAAATTGACAATAGTAGGGCTCATGGGGTCTATGTCCCTCAGGGTACTGCAGGAACGTACCCTGGGTACGGTCCGTATACCGGAACGTACCCTGGGCATTATTTGATATGGTTAAGGTTAGGATTAGGGTTAGGGTTAGGGTTAGGGAGTAGGCGTAGGCGACTCCCTAGACTCGTTAGTGGAGTAGGCGAGGTACGGTCCGGCATATTAGACAGTACCAGTGTATGTTCCGGTATACCGGACCGTACCCAGGGTACGTTCCGGCAGTACCCCGGGGGGCATAGACCCTCTCAGCAATAGTAGGTGATAAAGGACGCTGTTTAATTTTGGAATAGGTTCAGTTGCAATTATTCTCACATAGCATAGCTACATGTTGAACTATATGTATCCACGGACAACGTGCGACAACATTCGTAAGTTGGATTAAATTATTTACTTCAGACAATCGATTGGCGACTAGTGCGCCATCGGTCTGCAGCGGGATTCACCAACCACATTGCGCTGACGTAGACTGCAGAAACGAACGGCCTAAAATGGAGCTGTTGACACTCTCGATCGGCTTCACAAACTCGCTGTGCAATAAATTACCTCCTTTATATATACGTTACGTTCGCGCCCTATGATATTGTCAACATTATTCAATTATGACATGGGCTTAAATGTGATTATATATTGCGATTTTGTGAGTAAGCTGAGCTTATCAATAAGTAACTTGATGCAAACGTCAACCACTGATGACGAGGCAGGAGGAAAGCGGAAAGCTGTCCTGCTTTTGAAATACACGGTTGCCATTTGTTGGGCTGCGACGCCTGACGTTGAACTTGGTCATTTTTATTTTAGTTGATTTGCATACTACTTTTGGTATGTGTATTCTAATTTAATTAAAAAATATTCGATAGAATATTTTCATTACATTGTAGTATTGTACTACGGTGAAATATTATATATATATATATATATATATATATATATATATATATATCTTCGTAAGTTGTAATCGGCTGATATTATACAACTTCAAAATAAACTAATTTTTTACCAGTGTCTGATTTCTCTCTGTTTAAGTGTTAGTAAATGTAGCTATTACCATCAGATTGACTAAATTTACGTCATATCAAAGATGATTGTTCATAATCGAAAGTGAGAGAAATATAAAACAAGTTCATTGAGTTTATTTACAATCTAAACAACATTAATTCATTTATTTAAAGCCTTAACTATGACAGTGGAAACACTATCCATCGTAGCTAACATGTGTGGGCCCACACAAAACCATCGTCACCGCTGAGTACTGTCCTCCACGTTATCACTTTTCATCTATTCGTGATGCCTACACTTCGCTTTGGACATAAAACAGGTCCTTTTCTGCAGTCCAAACTATCTGTGGCTGCGACACAACTAGTGATTCGGAGCCATGACTCTATTTCCCAGAGTCAGCGAAGTTTCTGTAGGACTCTTCTCTGTAGTTTACAAATGATATTTCCATTCCAACGCGAACAAGAAAGGCGATGATGTTTCCAACTGCAATTAAACACAACCTTAATTAAGACACGCAGAAACTCAACGAAAAGAAACAATGTTACCATATATTATTAGGAGAGGATAATAGAGATCTATAATAATCTCTATTACCCAGTCCTGATATTATGATATATACATTACGTACAGTGGCGGGTCCACGAGGAAGACTCGATGCGTTCGAACGAACATCTCATTATAAATTTATTCCTATAAGTAATTACTGCCGTTTTCGCTGAAACGATCCGCTGGCTACATGATCGTATCGCTATGAGTGCTGACGCGAAAGCTATTCCAACGATGTCGCCCCCTGCATATAACGTCAATAACCGCTATTGTAGGGTTGTGCGGTACGCTCATAAAATTTGATTAAATGCAGCAATGGGAATTATTCACGCATCCGCAGTTTTGTTATGTTTTTTTACGTTGCCGCTGTCATTTTTGATATCAGTGTAAGCTTGTTGATATTTTTTGAAGGTAATAAATACAACCCAAACAGATATGTCGTAAGCAGTTACCTGTAAGCAGTTGGTTTTGTTGAAAATGTGCTTTTTTACGCCAATGTTGTTATTACAATTATATTATTCTTGTGCGACAAGCACGCACGCACGCACGCACACACGCACGCACGCACGCACACACACACACACACCGGGCACGCCGCACAGCACAACACACGCACGACGCACACACACCGACACACACAAACACCCACAACACACACACACACACACACACAGTATATATATTATATATATATGATATATAATTATATATATATATATATTATATATATAGACGAGAGAGAGAGAGAGAGAGAGAGAGAGAGAGAGAGAGTAGATTAGAGAAGAAGAGAGAGAGAGAGAGAGAGAAAGAAATAGAGAGATAATTGTTACCTATAGAAAATAGTCCAGTCTTGGTCACTGCGGTTGGCTCTCCAGCTTGTGAGGTATATACGAATCCAAGCAGAGCTAGGTAAAATGCTAAAACGTGGGTAAACTGAAATAAAACGGTAACTAGTTTGGAAATCATCGCACATGTTTTCATCGTGTTTGCAGAGACGTGATAAATGTACTTTACTGTACACCTAACGCAACGATAACTAAATATTTAACCTGTTCTGCTTGCATCTATGACAAATACGACATACGCATATATACGCTCTCTTATTACACTATTTGTCATAGGAAGATTCTTCCTATGACAAATATTGGCGAGTCAATTTCGTTCCGCTTTACAGCTGAAATTCACTGCTTGCGTTCATAATAGTGCTCCTATAAACTCCTATGATGCGCACAACACATACAACAATATTTGTCATAGGAAGAATCTTCCTATGACAAATAGTGTCATAGGAGCGTGGGTATGTCGTACGTATTTGTCATAGATGCTAGCAGAACAGACTGAAATATTGCTGGACTGTTGTATATAACAACAAACATGGAAAAATATTATCACAACGTACATCAGCAGAAATAACACCGTATTGTCTTTTAAATGTTTCCGTAGACAGTATACCTACTTTAATGACATAGCTTTGATTATCACTATATTATATTAACAGATGAAATACTAGTAATCGCCTCGATCATAACATCATCGACGTGTAACATCATACGTACTATTAGGACTATGATTCACAAGTCATAGGATGAACAAAGAAGGATCAAATTTGACATTGCATGATTAATTCTATTGATCGAAACGAGATTACGAGATAATTTGATTACTATTCATGAATGCTATAATTTAGCACATTTTATCACGAGTTTTGCTATAGGCCCCTACTGTACTATTAAAATGCATTGAAGCTGATAGGGTCTATGTCTCCCAGGGTACTATCAGGGGGTACCCTGGGTACGGTTCGACATATCGTATAGTACCCCGAGGTACTATAGTATACAGTATACGATATGTCGCTGCGTACCCTGCATTGGCCCACCCGGACCCACCGTACCCTGACTTTCACTTTCAGCCAACTGATCATGAAAATTATGCAGAACCATATATAGGGCCTACATGTGGTTTTGCAGAAAAATGATTATTTTTAGTGGATGACAACAATTTACGCTTCTTCCCTATACTGGTGGGTGAGGTAGGCCCTATTACCGCCGCAAGGTATTGCCGCCGTCACGTGCATATTGATTTTTTTTAATTGATGTCAATATCAAACCTTTTTTATTTATGCTAATGATAGTATTACAATGATAACATTAAACTACGAGATTATTATAGCTCTTATTATTTTTTCTAAATTATTCATATTAATTTATGATTTATCAATTAATCTCAATATTTTTGCTGTTTCACAGACTGTGTGTGTGAAAGTCAGGGTACGGTGGGACAAATTACAATGCAGAGTAGGCTTACGCAGCGACATATATCGTATAGTTACCCCCGAGGTACTTTCCGATATATCGAACCGTACTCAGTGTACCCTCCGATAATAGTACCCTGGGGGACATAGACCCTATCACTATCAGCTTTATTGGAGGTCAGTATAGAGCAGTGAATGAGTGATTTTACGCACAGATTAGAGACATGCACTAATTAGCCACTTGTGATAGAACTAAGTAATACTAATAATTCACACCTTGATAATTCTTACTAATAATTCTTACTAGTAGGCAATACTTACTAATACAAGGGCGGTAAATGTCTGGGTAGAAGACTGCGGCTTTTCCGTGACAGTATACTGGACAAGGTCAATGATAACGCCGATGAAGAGGAGGAATCCTAGCAGCACCGAAGATACTATGTAGAGCTCCTTTTTAGTTACCCGTTTGATATCGATCAAGGTGATAGCCATGCAATCGTATCTCGTTAACGGCCCATGGCCGTGGTTTAACAGCGGGCATCATCGACGCATCAACCCAAAACACGTACACTATCCTTAGTTCATTCAAATTCTTTAAAATCACATTATTATATATATATAATTATATATCACAAAGCACAATTTTAGAATCTTGCGCTTGAGTCGTGGTTGTCAATGACAATGATTCCATTACGTCAAACAATGGCTATGATTTAACATTGTTTGTATTTGTAGCAGAAAGATAATAATGAACCAAGGATATATATACACAACAACATGACATGTTGTGTATATACTATATCCTTGAATGAATGGTCGTATACTTTATTTACACCGAGAGGCATAAATCACTGAATTTGATTTTTTAAGACACTCCTGTTTGTGCGATGTTTACTCTACCTGTATAAAATAGCCATTTGCTCCCGCCACATGGGGCAGGGGTATATTGAGCTATAATGATACATGATTATCTGACGCGTGGCACATCTATCTAGTATCTATATATTTATTTATTTATCTATGTATCTATACCTATCTATCTATCTATCTATCTATCTATCTATCTATCTATCTATCTATCTATCTATCTATCTATCTATCTATCTATCTATCTATCTATCTATCTATCTATCTATCTATCTATCTATCTATCTATCTATCTATCTATCTATCTATCTATCTATGTATGTATCTATCTATCTATCTATCTATCTATGTATCTATCTATCTATCTATCTATTTATTTTATTATCTATTTATCTATATATATATATATATATAATATTTATTTATTTATTTATTTATTTATCTATTTATCTATATCTATCTATCTATCTATATTTTTTTTCTCTCTCGCTCTCTCTCTCTCTCTCTCTCTCTCTCTCTCTCTCTCTCTCTCTCTGTGTATACACCCTTTTGCTAGCGTCTATTTGAATGCAGGTAATAAAGAAGCATAACGACTCTGATGAACGTATCAAGTTATCTCTTTAATTGAACGACTATAACTATGCATCCGCCCATAACGGGGCGAATGCGTACAGTCGAGGTACGCGAGTAACATCACCTAACTTACGAGGTTAAGGATGTTTGTTAGCTGGCTCGAACCAATAGCGTCTAGTCTAGAGTCTAGGTGTCTCTAACTCTCGCTCTGCCCTCCCTCTCTGGTCGAACACGCGGTTATATACTAACATAGGTAGACACGCCTACCTACTGTTTATGGTCAGTCCGTACTACATTACTGTCTATAATTGGTTAATTCTACCCTGTCTATTCCCGCGTTACAACTTTACACAGCTGGCCATGTATGCCAACCCAGAACAATAGGTTATTCCTATATATTTATTTATCTGTCTTTCGACGGTGTTACATCCATCCATCTATCTATCTATATGAAAATGTCTGTTTGTCTGTTTGTCTGTATGCCTATCTGTCTGTCTGTCACAGTCAGGTTATCTGTCAATTTTTTTGGCATCTACTTCTCATTACCGACACTAGCGCCGACTATCGGCAAGGGAAAGTGCATTCGGCACTGCGTGGCATCGCGGTTGAGAACTGTCTGGTTGTCTGGCCTTGGTCTGGCCGTATGTCTGTCCGTCTGCCCGCCCGTCCGTCCGTCTGTCAGCCTGTGCGTGTGTCCGTCAGTCTGTCCGTCTGTCAGCCTGTGCGTGTGTCCGTCAGTCTGTCCGTCTGTCAGCCTGTGCGTGTGTCCGTCAGTCTGTCCGTCTGTCAGCCTGTGCGTGTGTCCGTCAGTCTGTCCGTCTGTCAGCCTGTGCGTGTGTCCGTCTACCCGTCTGTCCGTCTGTCAGCCTGTGCGTGTGTCCGTCTACCCGTCTGTCCGTCATAATGCTAGCTGGCGGGGCACCCATTGCACATAGGATTAAATTAGGATGCAATTAGTTTAATGATCTTAACTTACGCATCATTTGGCTGTCTCCGATTCCTCGATCTTAGGTTGTTAAAATTATGAGTCTGTGACTGTATTAAACCTGGTTCAAGATTGATCCTAATCTCAGCTCGCAGAACATAAGTTATACGTATATGCGTCCTACGTATGACAATGTATTACGAGTTAATGCAGGTGTGTGTGCGCGCGTGCGTGCGTGCGTAGTACTTATGTACATGTATGTATTCAGTATGTACGAAATGACTAATTATTTCACATTTTGGTAGCCTTTGCATGAAATCTGTATCGCTAATAAACAAATGTGAATAGTGATTTCATGAAGAAAATAACAATAAACATAGAAAGTCAAATAACGCTGAGTTGTACTTATAACATACATTCATGACACAAAAATTAAACCAATTCGTGTATTTTCGTAGTGATATCGGCAACATACCAATAAATTCACAATCTATAGTGCTAAATTACGGCTTTACCGACATATAGTTTAACACATTTGCAGTGGAATGTATACATCTATTACATCTAAATATAAAATACTCTTGAAAGTGTAAAATAGATAAATACGTGCTTATAAAAATATAACAAGCATACCGGTACCATTACTATACAGATGGTTTGTCATCATTACTCGGCAATTATACTCGGGATATTAACCAACAAAATTCCGTATCCATCCTATTATACACGCATATAGTTAATTCGCGAACCCAATGCGAACAAAGCTGGGCATTTTACGTGGTACAGGTCGAACACCCGTTATAAAAGGTCCCAAACCCCATGTACCATCCATGAACCTAATGGGGCGCTGTATAACTGGCTTTGGATGAGCCGACAGCCAATTTTACTCTGTGTACGAACAGACATGTGTTGGACACACCAGTTCACTACTGAATAACTGTTCAGCGAGAAAAAAAAATAGAAAGCAGCTTAGAATATCGTAGTCTTCATTCCAAACAATTGAACACGTTGCTATCGCCGTTATAAGGTGAAGTGTCGGCATCCAAGTAAGTATCCTTGATTCCTTGTGGTACTTTTGTTCCAATAAAGTCACGATCATGTGCCCCACACAAAGATAATAACCAAATAAACCACACATTATAACAGGCAGATAACTGATATTACGTGTAGATGTCTCAATCTTAAATGGCAGTTGTCGGCAAGTTGGCATGTGTCAAGGATCTCTGTGCCCTAATGGGTATGACTAATCATTTACCATAATTATAGATAATGAGCGTATCCAGAAACTACGCTTTCCGTATGGTGACACAGAAGATAGTATAGTACAGTCTATGTATGAAGCCATTTACATTTGGCTGCATAGGGAGCACATGTATAAACTGTTTATTTCAATTTTTCGCAAACAATTCTTAACGTTTGCAAATTTATGCTTTAAGAAAATACTGCAAACAATCATAATAGCTTTAAAGGGATCCTTTACTCTAGGTTCTAGGATTATTTTCAGTTAATTTAGGTTAAAATTACGCTATATAAAAAGTGTCATGGTTCAATCACCATTAGAATATTTTTTTATGTTTTAAAACTAACAGCTACAGTTTGATTACGACGGTGGCGCCACTCAAAGCACACGATCTGAAAATTGCGCAAAACGACTTTTCAGCCAAGGGCGAGGTTGTTTCTTATTTATTAATTTAAAAGTAAAAGGATTGTAATATCTTATAAACGACATATAGTTTCAGTTATATTATGGATAATTTGTCCTAAAATGAACATCGTTCAGTTAAATAGCATTTAGGTATAAATGAAATTGCACCTTTGTGATTAGCCCTCGATCTGTAACGTGCAAAATATATTGGGAAATGCACAACTTTTTCAGGGTGGCAGCACGGTCGCGGGTGTCAATGGCGCTGTTCAAATTTCGTAGCGTTGATGTATAATTAATTATAACAATTAAATTAGGTATCTGGTAACAAGTACGTGTGGGTATAGACGATTTGTTACACAGTAAGTACAGCTGTATGCAGTAAAATCATAGAGTCTAGTATCCCTTTAAACAACAATCAAAACCAAAGCCACGAATCGTACGGGGAAAATTTCATACCGGCTGTCTATTATACAATGCACGCAGCTAACATGTGTTAGCTGGACGGTTGATATGAGATTCTCAAAAGGTCCTCATCATTTTTCAACATGACGTGACCAAGAAATAGTACACTCACTGTACTCATTACCTCCGCCAAGGGGTTGGCAGGAGGTTATGTTTTTACCGGCGTGTGTTTGTTGGTTTGTGTACAGCCTAACTGAAAAAGTTATGGCTGGATTGTCATACAATTTTCAGGATAGGTCAGAAATGGGCTAACTTAGAATTGATTGGATTTTGGTGGTGATCCAGATCCAATGAATGAATTAATTAATTAATAAAATTTTCAGGATAGGTCAGAAATGGGGTAACTTACAATTGATTAGATTTTGGTGGTGATCCAGATCCAATTAATTAATTAATTAATAAAATTTTCAGGATTGGTCAGAAATGAGGTAACTTAGAATTGATTACATTTTGGTGGTGATCCGGATCCAATTAATTAATTAATTAATTAATGCAATTTTCAGGATTGGTCAGAAATGAGGTAACTTAGAATTGATTACATTTTGGTGGTGATCCGGATCCAATTAATTAATAAAATTTTTCACTGTGAGAGAATTGAGCTGCCTTGGCGGAGGTCTGCGCTCTCCGAGTGCTCTAGTTTATTTATGAGATAGTCACGAATGCATTCATAAGATATTTGACCCCTTGATACGTTTACGGGGATTGCAATCGTGCAGTAATCATCACCACCCCTGTAGGGTTGATTCTACACTCGAAAACATCGCCAGGGTGCATGAAGCCATAATCGTGCTCATGGAAGATCTCACGAACATGGTACCCTTGACGCTTTGTAAGGCCAATGTCACGCAGGCTTGTTGTGAACTTCACTGGCGTTCCGTCGACTCTCATGTTCAAGAATACAACAGCACTACTACCCCGAGGGATGATGGGCCTGAGCCAGACTTCTATACCACCTCTCTGAAAGAATTAAATGATGAGCTCAATATATAAATCTATTACTATAGAATCAGGTTAAACACATCTATCCTACAGTATTTATTATTACTGAATACTGTCAGAAATAGTTCTCGTGTGGAAACTCATCACTATTAATACAATTTTTTATTCATAGTTTCTTGAGATAATATTCACAGCATATCATCAAACCCACTACTTTCCCTTGATTAGTGCAAAAAACAACAAGTCATTCAAGTTCCACTTACCTGCTTGATAACTTGGTAAATTTTTACCACTACACTTGGTATTACACAGAAATAGGAACTGGTCAGTTACAATTCACGGATTATAAATCATAGGCCATGCATATTATGGCATCCATATTATCAAGAGCTAATAATACCTAGAGTGTACAGCGGGAAAACGGAAAAATAGACCTATTTTACGGCAATATTATTCTACGTTGCCTGCGAGTCTAGAATGAATTCATGGTATTGCGTTAAGCAGCATGCTTTGTTCTCTAAATCAAGACCAACCGCTTGTCTCTACGATACTCCTAGGCCGAGATATTGGATCGTAATCATGCCTCCCACACTGGCCTCACGACACCTTGCTACTGCATATTCCCGAACCTTTGCGCGCTTAACGATTTTGGCAATCGATTTCCGTCGCCGCTTGGAGCGATGATAATTGATGTCACATGCCCAAATTTGAGGCCAGGGTAGGAGGTATGATTACGATCCAATATCTCGGCCTAGGAGTATCGTAGAGACAAGCGGTTGGTCTTGTTTTAGAGAACAAAGAATGCTGCTTAACGGAATACCATGAACTTATTCTAGACTCGCAGCCAAAGTAGAATAATATTGCCGTGAAATAGCACTATTTTCCCGTTTTCCCGTTGTACACGCTAGGTATTATTAGCTCTTGATATTGTATTAAATGACACCTACACTCAGCACTTTTCGGCCTTGTGTTCCTAGAGGGTCCTGATTTACTGCGATCACTTCTCTGTTGAGCAGAATGTTCCTAAGCTCTGGTTTGATGTCACGAAGGTCAGTCGACATGAACAGTGGGGCGGCAAACACTGCCCACATGGCCATCTGTGCCTTGCTCTGCTCGTAACTCAGCCCATAATTACCAATGATCAGCTGCAAGTAAGTGTAATAAGAAGCTCAGTGTGAAAGAGTGTGCAGCCTGAGAGCAAGATGGAACTGTCTGGAAGAGTCGTCGCCTATATGCAAGTCTAACGTGCAATCATGCGTCTATGAAACATGTGGTGGAGATAATCACATGTCATCATATGTAACTGTGATTTGACTATAGTTATTATGACATATTTGAACTATATGTTATGTATTATGGGTGCCATTGAACATAGATGGCTATTGTATATACGTGAAAGTTGCATTCTCAAAAAGGTTATAATCTAGAATATTTATATAAACATAAAATTAGGGATACATTCCACAATGCATTCTGCAGCTCCTTTAGTTCCCATCCTACCACAATTTTATACCAATTAAACAATAAAATGACAATAAAAATAATAGGATACTGATTAAGTAAAATTTTCTAATTTTTTAAGTGAAATGTCAGGAACAAGAAAGAATAATAACCCTGGGTATTCCAGAAAATTGACACAGATTTACACAGGGTAGTGGCGACTGAATGGTTTAGAGTAGCTACTGTACATATATTCTCATGTAGTGTGACCCATTCATGTGCACCATGTGCCACATGCATCTGAATGGCTAGCAACATGCAGACTGATACCACAGACGATATGGACTCTATAGAGTCAATTTTCATTGCGAAATTGCACAGGCTAAACTTACATAAACTAAGGGTCAGTTGTATGGTTACTATAAATGAATAGAATTATTATTAATGGAAGCTAGTCATCCTACTAAAGCTAGTTATAACAGGTAATTCCAATTGGCAGATAAGGTAGGGCATAAACCTATACTGTGCTGCCACAATACAATTTGCAATCTAGCAAAATTTGCAGAATTCGATAAAAGCAAACACATGCTAAAATAACATGCACACACAAAGTGCTAAAGGGTCATTTACCATATCTGGATCATTCCAGTGGCCAGGACCAGCCAGAGAAGCAAGGAGATCTTGATTGTCACCGTAGAACTTAATAATTGCAGATATACTGTTCCACGTGTCGTCGATGTCATGGTACATTCTCCACATGTTGCAGTAATGAGGTAGTTGGGTGTAGTTGAACTGAAAAGCAACATTGCTGATAAAATAGCAGTAATTGTTTTTATCGCAGGTTTATATGAGAAGCTGCCTCAGTGTGCTTCAATCAAGTTAGGGGGTGTTTCGCATTCGCATTTAGTATCTACAACTCCTAAATATAAAACAACCTAAACTGAATTTACACTACTGAATAATATATTATGATACTTATGTCAAACTCAATATGTCATACTGTAATTTAAATATAAATTGTCAAGGTAAATTCATTATAATACCGATTACCTGTTTATTAATTGATGTGAAAGGGGCAAGCTGTGTGCGTGCATGCGTGCGTGGGTTCGTTCGTTCGTGCATGCATGCATGTGTGTGCGTGCGCATATCGAATCTTTCTCTGTCTGTGTGTGTGTGCGTGCGCATATCGAATCTTTCTCTGTCTGTGTGTGTGCGCATGTGCATGCGTGCATACGTGTGCGTGCGTATGTATGTATATATGCATTTGCTTACATAGTTTTTAAACAAATTTAGCTAGAAGATGCGAATGAAGGCTAATGATCTTACTATGTCACTGAAAAAAACGATTAAAAAACAATATCAAACCCTGATATTTACTTGATCTACCTAACAGTCCTGAGGGCAATATTGCTCAATTTGGTAAAACCTTTCATTTCTTTAACACAGAAAGGAAAGGAACTCAGCGATTTGCAAGATCCATCCTATATACATACAAAGTTTGAAATAGTTTAGAAATATATGAAGTTTATAATAAATATCAATAATTAAAAACTATAAAAACCTAAACACATGCTATTGGCAAAGTTTACTACGTGTATAGGCATGTATACCGCCACAAGAGTCCAATTTTTCAAATAAGAGAGTTCAACTTACAGGCATTCCGGCAGCAAAGAAGTAATATGGCCAACTGCATGAATAGAGTATTGGCCTACCAGTTTTATTCAGAGCTTGCCCCATTTCTGGGTATGCTGAAAAAGATGTGCGTACATATTAAACTGATGTTATTAACGTTTATAATTGTGCATGCAAACAGAAAGAAACACGATATCAATTACATTGCATCTTTATTGATTAGTAAACATGATCTTTTTAGCAAATAGTCAATTATGTTTAAAAGTTACATAGTGACTTCAGATAGATTTACATATGTTATACAGGAGTTCCCTATTACATACTGGAGTTCAAACTTCGTAAAATTTACTAAAAAAAAGTTGGACAACAATTGGACATCCTTTTCAGCATATTAAAAAATAACTTCAATTGACATTCTTCAGGCTGCAATAGAAATCAATCTATAAGCTAATAGACAAAATGCATCATTTAAAAAAGACACTTGAACATTTAGAACCCCAATTAAATGCTATGGGATTGAAGCACCGTTTTATTGACTGCCTCCGAGTAGGTATAGCACACTGCACCAATCTATTAATCGCCAGAGCTGTAGAATAAAAGCAGACTATACACATGCAGGGGCGGATCCAGGGGGTGCGCATCCCCCCACCCTTCCCACACAAAGTGCCCTTTTTGCAAAAGTTGTCTTATTAAAAAAACGGTATGTTTTGCCGCTCGGCCTGTATCTGACAAGTATTTCACTCAGTCGGACCCGATCAAGCCCTCGTTTTTCTTAGAATATATATATAGGTCGGGCCCAGGAGTGGGGCTATACCATGCTCAAATCCAAAACGGAAAATCTAGGTCCAAAACTAACTGCTGCCTTTCTTAAAATGATGTTAGCAATACAGTGGTGGCGCCATGCACTGTACGGTCGCCTGTATAGATGCACTGGATGAGTAACATTATATTGCCAAATGCACGCATCTCAATCAGCTATGCTAAAAGCTCACATTAATATAACTTATGGACCGAAAACGCATATATATGTGAAATTAATAAATTTAAAGAGTAAAAAATTTTGGGGGGCGAAGTGCCTTTTTACAAAGGTTTTAGGAACGTTTTTTTCCTTCCTAAAATCCTGGATCCACCGCTGACATGAAATCATATCCTTTCCAAAAAGACTCTTAACACTAAGGAAATAATTGTGGCTACATGGGCTTAGGAAGGATAAATAACGTTATTAATAAGATATAGAGTTGCTGCCATGTTTATAGTAAGTACCTTTATCCAATTTCCAATGTTCTGTAAAACAGCCATCAAATTTGAACATGTCTATCTTCCAGCTAGTAAATGAACGGACATCTTTGCTGATATGCTGCCAGCTTCCAGGATAGTTCATACACGTTTTATCTCCAACACTTTCATACATACCATACTTTAGCCCCTTTGAATGAAGCTGAATGTTAAGGAAAAAAGTCATTATACAACAATTGCCAATTTATTTTGAACGTTACAGGCTAATCACAATAGTGAAATTGCATTTACACCCGACTGCTATTTAACCGAACGAATTTTATTTTAGGGCAAATTCGTCCATATTATAACCGAGTTGTTTATAAGATTTTACAATCCTTCTCCTCTTAAATTAATAAATGAAGACTGCAGGGGAAAAACGGTCTAATTCACATTTTGGAGAAATTTGAGATGGTGCTGCCATCTGGTTGAGAATCAAGTAAGCTTTCATTAAGCTACCTAGTTCTTGACAAAAACAATCCATGTCCATTTCTATAGCAGGGAAAAGAATCGGGATACCAGTGCAGAACAATCTATGTCCTTTGCGTACAGAACGAAACGTTTAAAGTCCAATCAAACTCACCCATGTCCATGCTAGAAAGGGAACGAATTGAGCTAAGCCCAGTCACGTTATCACACCAAAATATGGAAAGCGTTTTGAAACTTATTCCTTGAATTTCTCAAAAAGTTAAAAATGTGACATAGATCATTTTTCCTATGTAGTCCTCAAATATGAAACACCTTCGTTCTGTAGCCTGCAGCCAAAAAGTTGTGATGTGCGACTTTGAAAGTAGATAGACTATAGTAGTGGCACCACCATCGTTGTAAGCTTTGTAAATTTTTAAAAATATTTCTAATGAATATTGAACAATGAAATTTATATCTAGAGTAATTTAAACCTATTTTAACTGGAAATATGCAAGGAACCTAGGTCATGTATCCCTTTAAGTTTTACAATGTTTAGAATAGATATTAAAAATAGTTGAGAAAGGATGTTATGAAAAAATATCACCATAAGCTAGTGTTAACACAACACACACCAATATCAAGAACCTATATTATGCACACACAATTATGTTAATACCAATATTTCATCAGCGCATGAAGTTGTAAAATACAAAAGCGGAATTAAACGTTCAACATATTATTTGTAATCGACAATTTTGTATTAACTCATGTTTATAAATTTGTCATAATCATCATGTTTTAGCAAATGGTTTTTAGCTCATCTGACATAGTCAGATGCAGCTTGTAGAATCGCATGAACCTGACGAAATTCTTGCGTTCGCTTCCTTTGCGCAGTTTATATAAATGGCTGCAAGTACAGGGAGGGCTATAGGCGGCGCACTGCATTTTGGGAAACTACCACGCTTTCCAACTCCCGTACGAGCCTCGTCAAAGCCGCCAGTGGAGCATTGCAATAATGCGGCGCAAAAATCAGGTCACGAAGAGCGCCGGTGGGTGTTTCCTGATTCCGACAGCCATTTACATAAACTGCGCAATGGGAGCAAACGCGAGAATTTCGTCAGGCTTTGTGTGATTTCGCGTGGCACAGCTTGGTTACGAACACAGACAGTATGTTTTTATAACAAGTGAAAACTGTTCTTCGAATAGAAACAAAGATGGAGTAGAATGGTTGAATATTTGTGATGTATTCGTATGAAATCAAGCGAGCGTCAATCGAATTTTGGCAGCACGCTTTCCTACCTGCTATATTCAAGACTATATACCTGCCTATTTCCTATTTTCTATATTTCCTATTTCCTATATTTCCTTTTTCCTATATTTGCCTATTTCCTATATTTCCTACCTGCTATATACCTGCTATATACAAGACTATATAATTATGTGTCAGTGTGCAGCAGCTAGCGCGCGGTGTACTTGTGTGTTGCAGATGAGCATTTGACCGGCATTTACAGGTGATTATAGGCGAAATAGAGCTTATTTTTATATAATATTTTTTTATTGAGGCGTTCCAAGTGCCTGTGGTTTGGTACCTCGCAAATGTCCTAAACTAATCTGGGGTGCTAAACACTAAACAATAACTAAACTGTCCGTGACAGTGTCAGTGAAGTGCAGTGTCAGCACAAAACCACAACAACCACACAGCACATGGGGCTCAAGGATAGAGAGCATGGTCAGCAATAAAAGACGATTTTTCTGCTGATAGATGGCGCCGCTATGCTATATACACTGCTTCAAGAGGTAATAATACCTAGAGTGTACAACGGAAAAACGGGAAAATAGTGCTATTTCACGACTACATTATTCTACTTTGCCTGCGAGTCTAGAATAATTTCATGGTATTGCATTAAGCAGAATTCCTTGCTCTCTACAACAAGACCAACCGCTTGTCAATACGATACTCCTAGGCTGAGATATCGGCTCCTAAACCTCCCCTCCCACATGCCTAACGCCGCCTCGAATCCACATTCATTTCAGCAACCTACGCGCGTCTAATGGCATTAGCTTCTGCTGAAAGGGGAGGTTTAGCAGGCCTATATGCTCAGCCTAGGAGTATCGTATTGACAAGCGTTGCGTCTTGTTGCTAAGAGCAAGGATCTGCTTAATGCCAATACCATGAAATTATTATAGACTCGCAGCCAAACGTAGAAATGGAATGTAGTCTGTGAAATAGCACTATTTTCCCGTTTTGCCTGTTGTATGCACTCTAGGTATTATTAGTCTCTTGACTGGCTTTATATAGGCGACATATATATATATATATACAGATCTTCACGATATGAAATTTCTAAACCTGGACCTTCGGTCCACCAAGCCCAGCAAAATTACTGGGACTGGACTAAATTATTTACTGCGACCAATATTAGTTTTGCACATTTTGACAATAAAGAACAAAACAAGTAATATCAATTTTGTATTTTACCTAATAATAAATACTCTCTAACACACTGCATATGATAACAGTAGTATTAATACCTATCAAATATCACATCACATGCCTCTACACACTGCAAATGATAACAGTAGGAATACCTATCAAATATTCATCATATTACCCTTCACACACTGCTAATGATGACAGTAAGAATACCTATGACGTTTGGTTAGCGATGAAACAAAGATTTAAAAGTGTTATCAGTCCTTGTGTTTTGAAAAAGCAGGCGAGTGAAAATCACACGCCTTCGCTTGCCGAGGTGTGTGAATGTGATTTGCATCGAGTGCCCGCCAGGTCACGAGGCAAACTAGGGGGGCGTCGGGGCATGGCCCCCCCGGAAAAAATTGGAAATCTAGACTTCATGAAATGCCATTTCCAGCCATTTTGGCGATAAAAATTAGCTCTGCATTTGTACTCTTAATTTGGACATTTTTTAGGCGATTTTTTTTTCATCTAACAAAATATCAGTTCTTGAACATATTGATGGATAACTTGAATCACACATTTAGCATGTTTAGTCAAAAGGAACAACACTCAATTTTTCAAAGCAGACTATTAAACTTTAATAGTATTTGCAACATTCATAATCATTCAGTCACTTGTTTGCATTTTTGTCAATTTGAGATATTTCAGTTTCATTTCAAGAAAACATACATGTTTGCAATAAAACTTCACTAAAAACCTTAATCAGGCTTTTAATTTTCATTGTCAGCTGCATCTTCATCATCAGTCTCGATCTGCGTGTAGCAATTGAATACAGTAACAGTCATATTCATCATGTATGGCTCGCGTATGATAGGCCGCGACGATTTTGGTTTTGCGTTTTTGGTTTTGGGTGGGTTCGGTCGTGCAAAGCAGTGAACGCAGGCAGTAGGCTTTGTGAGTTACGACGTGGAGGTGTGTGTTTACGGTTCAGTGGTGTAACGGAAGAATACCAGAGTCAACGATACGTCAAGCTTTCGTCGGTGATAAATAAATGATGAGCTGATGAATTGATGTTAAAGCTGCTGTTGGTATAAGCATTTACAACTGTCGTTATAAACATGTGAACCGATCTCCGGCAATGTCCGTGATGTTTACAACCGTTTGCGTTTATCTTCAAGTTTACAGTTGGATTAATGAAAAACAAAACACGAAGAGGTGTTCGGTTTTGATAATGCTTAGATGCCGCGTTTTTCGCAGTTATGTATACAGTAAGTAGTCTCATAAATACTTTGATAAATTATTTAAATACTGTAACTAGGCAGTGGTCTGAAAAAAACGGTGGACCGACGGTCCATTTAACTTGTTAAATTTACTGGACCGAGAGAGACTTCGGCCACCGCCTAACGTCGAAGACTGTTATATACTATATATATATATATTATATATATATATATACAGATATATATATATATATAATATATATATACGAATATACTATATATATATATATATATACCAAGTACTGGTCTAATATATATATTTAGCGGCCTGTAAACGATACACAAGCCTCTCGATTTCGATCCGTTATCTCGATATTAGCCTCTCAATTCGATTCCTTCGATTCGATTCCCAAAATATTGAAATGTTATCTTATTTTTTATATTTTCATTATTTTTCAATAATAAATTATTCGAAATTGCCAATGAATACTAAATGGTGAATAGACTAGAGAGTCTAGAGAGTATATATACACTGCACAGTCCAGGACTCGAATTAAGCGACGAGAAGGCCAAGGCAATTAATTTTCTCTAAAATGGAAGGGCACAGAGGCAATTTTAAAAGGCACAAAGCCACTTTTGTAAAATAAAGGAAAACTCATAACAAATTAGTACATCAACATCGTCTTGCTGTTAATGTACAAAACAATATGCCCCTATGTCAGTTTACACCGTAACACCGACCCCTGTACCCCCCTCTGCTAATGGAAGTACAGTAACAAGAAATTTTACATGCCCGCTATCAGGAGCGAATAATTATCCGATGCTGTTATTATTCCCTCCTGCGATTATCGGTTTTAAGCTCATCATTGCAACTACAGCACGCACGCGCACGAGTTATGTTGACTCGAATAAAAACGAAACTAGGGCAGTAAATTAAAGGGCACCGACGGCAATTACACAAAAGGGCGAGGCAGGTGACTGCCGTCGGTCGGGTTGGATTTTCAGGGGCAGTACGGCGATTGATATGGGCACCCTTGGTCGGTTAATTCGAGCCGCTGAGTTACATTGGTGAGTAACACCAGAGAATATAAATCACTGGGTTTATATGCTCTGGTAACACTCCACAGTATATAGCATAGTGCCGCCATCTATTGGAGGAAAAAAGTGGTATCAAAGTGGAATAAAAAATACGGGGAAAAATATCGAGGATCGGATCGAGGGAAGAGAGCCGCGATCCGATTCGATTTCAGTGGATCGTTACAGCCCTAATATATATATAGACATATATATAAATATATATATATATCTGTAGATACACACATGGGCAAACATAATACACACATATACGCACATATACACACACATACACACATATACACAAATATATATACCAAAGTGGCTGCGACTCCTGCGACTGCGAAAATTTAAAATTAGAATTTAAAAAAATTAAAAATAGTCTTGCCTAATACCCATTACCCTGACCCTAACCTGAACCCTAACCCTCACCCTAACCCTAACCCTAACCCTAACCCTAACCCTAACCCTAAATATAGATATATATTTATTCATGTACAGAGAATGCATCGAACCCAACGGAAAGAATGTGCGTTCACGTGCGTTTTATCATATCTTGGTTGTATATACCGCGCTGGCTTTGACCACTGGCACTGTATGCAGCCGCCGTCAGATGTTAGCAACGCGCGACAGACAGATGTGCGCAGCCAACGGCAGCTGGAAGAAGGGGGGGGGGCGAATGCATATACATCAGATTGCCGCGAGAGGGCAGTAGGGTACAGTCAACAACAATGGAGGACTTTTGTCGTCATTGATTTATGAGTTTCCAAAAAAACAACAAATGTCAACGGATTTCCGGGTAATTTACTGGAGCAAGTAGTATCAGTCCGTAAATGGCGCGCGCAAATACGCACATACATTTGAGGGCCGTAGCAGAGGAACATGACGGGAAATTCTCGCGCGTAGCAATGGTGAGAAACAGTCGGAAACGGGCGAGTAGTGTCGCTTCAACGCAGTTTTTCCCACACTTCCTGTGAACTCACATAATATTTCTCGGTCGAAATGAACAAACAACACCCTCAACAACACCCCTCTCGATTTTAAAGGGGCTACCCCCACATTTACGAAAATGACATAGGTCTCAATCTGGCCATGCTCTCTATCCTTGAACCGCACATGGTGTACACCAACACATTGTCATTGGCGCTCATGCTTTCCCACCTGCTCTATATTTCTGTGAGTTTCTGCACAGTGGTGTGCATGCGTTTACGTGGAATTGTCGCCGGTAGCGGTTGCCAATGCAATTTGTGTTTATTTACAATAATTTGTTATTGGAATTTGGAGTGGTCTGGCCCAATTGCCTATGGCTCTTTTCACAGGCTGGTGGGCTATTTCATTGCCACAGTATGGTAAATATAGAAATTGTCTTTGCAACCAAAGTCCTAATGTTGATCTTCTCTCTATAGCCCAATAATTCCATGTAAATGCCTTTCAAACACTGCAACTCACAATCCCAGTGCACACATGCCAGTATTTGCAACTCACGGTCACAAAAAAGCAGCTGGGAAAGCGTGAGCAGCACACTAGTTGCACAGCGGTCATTTCATGTCACATGTTCACGGGATTAATACACCACTAACTGCCTTCATGTTGGTATTGGTGTGTAGCATAATAATTATTTGTTTGAATTATCACTTGTACCCTGGATACTACTGAATTTTACCTAAAAATTTTTTGTAAAATCCTGTGGAAATATCGCTCTCAGCAGTTTTGTGAACCAGAAGAACTGCATGTTTATATACGAGAAATAGCTGCACATTGCAGGAATTCTGGGTTCAAGTGGTCCATGCTTCTGAGCTCCACGACCAGCCCACACGTCACTCAGTTCAAGAATAATTTGCCCAATAATGATGTCAGATGCATGACTAGGCCAAATATTCTCATAGTGCCGGTAAGGAATATCAGATCATAAAAATGCCGTTGCTCCAGTTTACAAAACCGTGGAGGGCTATATTCCTGCAGGAATATGTGAGCTTACTCTGGGTAAATTCAGCTGTACCCTAGTGTGACAGTGTTATTTGTAGCAAGTGCAAATTTTTTACGCATAGACACAAATATGAATACATGTGGTTTGTTGTGAATTTGTGCTATGAAGGTGTGAAAAGGAGCGAGCATTGGGTAAATTCTGCTGTCACGCTTGTTAACCTGCTCTATCAGTATGCTGTGAGTGTGTGGAAAATAGCATACATGCATTTCAACAGTATTTGTGTGGATTTATTAGACAATAGAGAATACGTAAACATTTAGATTTTAGTACTAAATACAATGTTTGGGCAATTCCAGCATAACGGACATATGATGCCAGACAGTTTTCTAAAACATTAAGTGCACAGTACGATCAAATTTAAAGAAAGAAATATTGTTTAACTCTGTGCATTAGTAACATTCGACAGCCACTGATGTATATGATAAGTTATGTGATATTTCACCAAACAGTTCCTCAGAGATTGAACATTTAGTTTCCATAACGGACATGACAGAAAACGGACAAGGGTTATTACTGTACTGTACACATCATGAAAACTCTGTGAGCTTCATGGCTATATCTTTCCAGTTTTTCTCTAATCCAAATCTTGAAATAACCCTCTAGACTATGAACACAACTGTAAATGTATTTAGGCAACTATCTTTTTCTTACATTAAAAAATGGTGCGTAGCGGACATATGGCACTTTCTGTGTAACGGGCATATGGCACTTTCTGTGTAACGGGCATATGGCACTTTCTGTGTATCGGGCATATGGCACTTTCTGTGTAACGGGCATATGGCACTTTCTGAATATCCATGATAACATGTTAATATAGCGAAGTCATTAAAGTTACACAGCTGTATCTTTATTACTGTACTACCGGTATAGCAAAGCCTAGCTATCATAGATTTTATATCTGTATTAGTAGTATCCTAGATATATGCTCCGAGCGCGAACGCGGTGATGGGAGGGTGCTCTTCATTCGTTTGCCAGTGAGTTTGGCATCAGAACACCTGCCGTCAGGTGAGCGCTGTCGCTCTGCGGCACTTATTTATAAAGCAAGTGCACCCATTAAAAAATGTTACAATTAATAACCAATACATTAATATTAAATAACAGCTAGGGTTAGGGTTAGGGTTAAAAAACATAAACGTTCCTATCTCTACATTAATTTTCGGGTTTGTTGAATAATGAGTCATAGTAGTAAAGCAGGGGAACTCGTGTTTTAGGTAAACATTCTGTGATATGTATACTGTTTCCTAAAATACATGCAATTAAATGCCTAGCATAATGCTGTGCATTGCACCACTTTGTAGTGCTGTGCACCACTTTGTATACTAGTACTTACATACTTCCCCAGTTTTTCCATGCCACTAGGAAATCGATTATGGTCCGCGACTAATCGCCCTTGACTGTCTCTGTTTTTCTCCATATAGCAGTCATCAACATTTACATATGTGTAACCTGCATCTTTGTAACCATCGGAAACCAGAACATCTGCCATGTCCATAAACAAACTCTCACTGCAAGAAAGAAATACACCGGCATTTGTTACACGCCACGCAGTGCAGGTGATGATTTGCCATTATCATAACGCTGTGTGTAATCACACTGTGTGTAATATCGCACTGCGTGGAGTGTAGCATTTGTAAACAAAAGTGGGGAGTTCACACACTACACTAGCTAATAACATCTTGTCAATTAAGCCACAATTAAAAAAAAATATTTGTTTGCCCTCACCCGACCCAGGCTGAAAAGTTTGGGTAGGTAGGTAGGCTTCTTCTTTTTTTTTGAGAGGGGTCTTTTTACAAATTCAGCATGGTGTCTACACTCTACATGCTCGGGTGTGCTTGTTTTGTGTTGTGTTGTGCTATTTTGAATGTTTGTTTTGCTTGGTACATGTAATGTATTGCCTACAGATTTATATAAGCCGCGTTCCCACGTAGCAAGAAATCCGGTATTTAGCGTTCACAAGAGGCAAAATGCGCGGTCCAAAAAATACGGTATCTAAACATCTCCAGTATTTGTTGTAAATACGCGGCTTCCCAGACCGCGTGCTTGAGAAATACCGGATCTCTTGGATCGCGCATTTCCTTGTGTAAACGCTAAATACCGGATTTCTGAAGCCGCGTATTTTATAGACTGGTCCGCGTTCGACAGTTCCAGTGTAACGCGAGTGGAACTGTCGAGAGCGGACCAGTCTACGTATGTTATCGGCAGTTGGTGCGCATTGCATTGTTTATTTCGCATTGTTCGCTTGATTGTTTAAAGCAGCTCGCAGCTCGCAAATACCGTATTTCTGGAGCCGCGAATCAGCGTGTGAACGCTCGGCCGCGTATTTCTCTCAGATTCGGTATTTCGCAAATACCGTATTTCATAAATACGAGGTCTCGTGTGAACGAGGCTATAATGTACAGTGATACAATTTGTAAAAAAAGAAAAAAAAAGAATGGGAAATAAGGTGACTGAAGGTGTGTGAATTTTGTAACAATTCTCTAATCTAGAGATTGTCTCTCACTGCCTCCAGTCCCACATACGTATATGAGGAAACACTTCCCAAGTATCAATTCATAGTTTCAAGAAATAAGCTACTTCTATATTTCTGGTGGAAAAGTTTAGATATAGTATACACACACACGCACATGCACACGCACACGCACACGCACACGCACACGCACACGCACACGCACACGCACACGCAGGCACGCATGCACGCATGCACGCACGCACACACGTACACACACATGTATATATATATATATATATATATATATAACAGCCAATATATTTATACTGATATTGACACAATGAATATGACTAAGGTTAATTTAGTAATATGACCTGATGCAGTTGTAGGGGTCTTCATCGCAATCTACCTCACAGCGAAATCTCTCCCAAGCCAACCAACCCATTGGTGGAGTCAGTGCCAAGCCATTGTTCAGTGAACCAACTTTTTTGCAGGCAAACAGACTTAAAACTAACAACAGCAACCTGTAAAAGAAATGAAATGAACTAAATAGTGCCGGAATCACACTCATATATATATATCAAAATTTCAATGCAAAACTAGTTCACTGATCTAGCAGATTCGCGATACACTGTCAAACAGCACAATTATGTGAGAAGACATTATACTAAAGCCTAAAAAATACGTTTGTTTCCGCTAACCCAACCGAGTCCATTTTTAACCGCCGTGTCGAAACATTTTATTGTGATCGCTGTTGCGTTATAGAAACGTATAAGATTGTGAGTAACTTAGGAGCTGTTTATTCACACATTAGTGTGGCTTGCTTACATGATGTAAAGAGAGCGACTGCTCACGTGCAGCGCTTATATACGGCAGTCTGGTAGCAGGAGCCACCGTCACTATAGCTATATGTTAACACTTGAACACGCGTTAACCAATGGTGTAATCACTAACACAACAATCGCCAAAACAAAATAAAAATAAATATTTGATAAAAAAAACGTTTTGCCTGCCTACCGTGCCCAATTTTTTAAAAAGTTTACATATATATATGTATCACACACACACGCACAGGCACAAAAAAGTTTAAAAAAAACGTTTGCGCTGCCACGTGTCCAATTTTTTTCACCTCGTAGCGAAAACAAACATCATTTTTTCTTAGGCCTAAGCATCAGTAGAGTAAATGTAAAATTTATTAAAATAAAAAAGATATTAAACCACATTTCTGATGATATATCTAATATGGCATTATGATATTCTTGTAATACCATATATATATACAATATTCTTCTCTATAAAAATTGTGTGACGTAGAGAAGCATTCAAATGCTGTTTAAGCAAAACTATTAACATTGAAACTATTTTGCAGGATTCTCCACAGACTTGCCATGTCAGGCATGTCAGGTCTGATGTGCCTTCTAATTGAAGCTAATTTGTGACATCCATAAAACCTCTGCCTTTTACTGCCAAATCGGCATGCACTTTTGCATTTCTAGATACGTTTACTTTGACAATCCCAACACATGTGCTGTTTCCACAGCTTGATGTATTTGTCTTCCAACTGATTGAGTTACCTGTGTATACATAGGGCTATGTACGTGTGTCAACTCTTTGCAATTTGTGCATATATTGTGTCTTTTTCGCCTGCAATCCAGTGTTGATCTTTCTATTGATCAATTTATCTCCTTCCGTCTTCGATACAGTCCCTTAGACTTTGAAGACTATTATTTATGAGGCTACAGGGTTATATAGGTATAAATTTACAAAAAACCCATAATTATACTCCAACATAAACTAAAAGTTCTGTCACTTCTCCAAAATCAAGTTTGTTGTAGGTCAACAAGTGGTGTAGTTTATTAGGTAGGTTGTGTGCAGGATTCACCTGATAACTGATCCCGATCACTGGATCAGGCATGTTTGCATTTTAAGCCAGCCTTAGCTCGGCTTGCGACGCGACACGATTACCTGCGACTGCTTTTCTGCAACTGGTTGCAACTGTCGCTGGCGACGATGTTCTACTTTTGCGACGCGACGCGACGCGACTAACACGACCAGAAGCGCCTTCTATACTAAGCATAGACACAAACCATATGAAGCCCAAACAGGCACTTGGGTCGTTTAAATAAGATAATGATAGCAATAATTACATGACAAATTGACAAGGTTATTTACTATCAAACAGTTGAAACACTGAAACAGTAACACTGAAACAGGCAAGCAAGTTCTCGCCGGTTAGTTAGGCTGAGAGGGTCTATGTCCCCCAGGGTACTATCGAAGGGTACCCTGGGTGCGAGTTCGTATATCGGAACGTACCCTGAGTACCAGGCCTCGAATTAAGCGACGAGAGGGGCAAGGCAATTTTTTGGGGGCATGTGAGATTGCCTTGAATCTTCTCTAAAATGGATGGGCACCGAGGCATTTTAAAAGGCATCAAGGCAACTCTCACATTGAGAAGGGCACCCAAGGCACTTTTGTAAAATAAAGGAAAACTCATAACAAATTAATAAAATTTTTACCGTGTATGTACAGACCGTCTCCCGCCCCATGTACATCGTCTTCCGCCCCCATGTAAGCTATAACACCGTAACACCAACCCCTGTACCCCTCTGCTAATGGATCGAAGTACAGTAACAGGGTTCAACATTACTTTTTATTTCAACTAGACCAGTGCCCGGAAACTTTTCAATTCGCGGCCAAATGTAGATTTTTTGAACGCTGGGGCAGAAATGCGAAAAAAAAAAACACGAATTTATTGAAACATCCCTAAAACAACACATGACAGGGCTAAAATCACTGTATTCACGTATAACTGTACAATTCCTGTCAATGGGAAGGATGGAACTGCCTTCTCTGATTCATAAATAGCACATATGTCTGTTTCATCCGCGAGGAAGCGATTCTCAGAGTGTTTTCCAAATGTTCATCTGAAATAGAGTTTCTTGTCTTCGATTTTGATACTTCAACTTGGAAAAGAATTGCTCACAGAGATAAGTTGCTGCGACAGCGTCACTGGTTTTCATTGCATGATGAAGAAGGTTCGAAAAGATTCATCAGAGGACACAGATCTTTGTAGGAACTCGATTAGTGGTTTTGACAAGAATTGGCCTTCAAATCCATGTTGTTCTGCAGGATCAATTAATTCTAACTGCAGATTCGTGGAGCTGTCACTGGATCAACAGAAAAAGGCATTGAGAAGATCTTGAAGTCATTTTCGTTTGCACGAAACTCTTGAAAACGGCGAGAAAACTCTGCTGTGAGTTTTTCGATTTCAGTGAGTATCTTCTCCCTTCTGGCTTCAATTCTTTCTGACTTTTCAGACAAGGGAAATGATCGAAAACATTGTTCTCCAATTGACTTTTCCAAAGAAGCAGCTTGGCTTCAAACGACTTGATATCACCAAAGAGATGTGAACGAGTTTGTCCTTTCCCTGCATAGACACCATTCAACTGATTAACTTTTCAGTAATGTCGACCGAGAAGGCAAAGTCCGAGCAGAGCCACTGTTCGTCGGAGAATTCCAGTAGAGGCCTTCCTTTCGACTCCATGAACTGTGCAATTTCTTCTCTCAGCTCCACACCCGTTTCAGAGTGCGCCCTCTACTCAGCATCTCACTTGAGAAAAGATACAAGACTCTTTGTAATTCGCAGCAATCTCCTCAGAAGTTCTTTGAATTGCGATGATTCACTGCCCGAGCACGGATGAAATCACAGTTGATATTTATTTAGCCATGATTTCCTGGAAACCAATGACCTTCGTGCACAAAGATTCTTGGTGTATGATACAGTGGCACCATATCAACGTTTGGGGAATGTTTCTGGTTTGGAGCTCTTTCTTTAACATGCCTTGAAATCCTTTGCTGCCTCCCGACCATTGCAGGTGCACCATCTGTGGCAGATTCCAAACGAGTTTTCAATAATTCAGATTCGCTTTCTTCATTGCTGAATCACACTCCTGAAAAACGTCCTTTCAGTACAAGTGTCTTTCATGGGCACAGAGCAAGAAGTTCCTCAGTGTATATTGAATCTCATCATCAACACCTGCAGCCAAAATGGCCAGCTGAGCAGTATCTGAAATGTCCGTGCTCTCGTCAAGTGCCAAGGAAAACACTTTGAACTGAGAGGCTGCTGAGTGCAACTGGTCAGACAGATTTTTTGACAATTCCTCGATCCTCGTACTGGACTGTCGCTAGCACTCAGACTGAGACTGTTTAGAATCGGAGCTTTCTCAGGGCCACAT